AGGACAGTGCTGGCAGCGGCAACGCCAAGGACTGGGGCAGGGCCACCGCCACGCTCAAGAAGGGCGGCGAGGTCAGCTGGGACGTCGAGCTCAACGCCGGCAGGGGCGTCAAGCTGGACCTCGAGTACGAGGTCTCGCTGCCTGCTGGGGACGTGGCGGTCCAGTCTTCTGATGCTTCTCGGTGGTAATTGGATATGAACTTTTTCCTGAGGTGGGGGAAAGCGGCGGCGGTTTGGACTCTGGGCCGCGGATGCCTGGGAAAATGAGTACTGTGGTAGCTAGGGAGCGATTGAGTGGGATTGATCGAGGTTAGCGGGTTGGATGGACACAAAAAGAGACTGTCACGCATTGGCCGCTCGAGGCTTTGAGCTGATGTTGTTGTTTGACAACCAAGTATTTTGGACTTAGGTAGTTAGGTAGCTAGGCAGTGGTATCACCTAAATTGTGAGACTATGAGCCACATGCGCATAATCACGTCCCACAGTGCCTACACCATTGTGTCTTCCGAGTATAATTTCCCTGGTGCTTGTAATAGAGATTAGCTGCTTCATTGACTGTATCTTGTTGCTGTTGCATTGGGATCCTGCCTCTCCAACAGCAAAATTTACGCAGGTCCTCAGCACGTCGCGTCTCGGATCGTCATATGCTCGTAGAGGTCTTGTCGCCACAATGTCACACGATTGTTGCCACCGGGCGGTTCCGCCAGCACAAGGCAGCGTGAGGGTCAGGTGCAAGTCGGGGGGACGCCAGAGGAGTGTTGCCTCCATTCTGGAACGTCAAGTTGAGAATTACTGTATCGAGCGAGGACAATGTCTCTCTGTCGGGCTCTGCCGAGTGTTGTGGCAGCCTCCTAGCCGTAATGTTTTTTGCTTGATTTTCCCCGATGTCCGATTGATCCGAAAATGCATCCTGCCAAAACTCCTCGACTCCTGCCTGTCCTTTGTATGCTCCGGTAAACGCCCGTGAACTCCACAAAATTACGTTGCACTGCCTCACGGGCATATCGGTACGGCCGTGTGCCATCCGGCACGTGCACCCTTTCTCATCGTCGAAGGCTTCGAGACCAAGTAGTTGTATGGTCGCATCCAGGTTGCTTGTTGCGGATCGAATGCTGGAATGTAATCGATAAGCATTCGATCGGGTGGAGCGACGACTGCAGAGGCGAAAAAGGGTCGTCCAAAAGAGGTCGAACCACGCGACGAACCTGATCAGTCATTATTTTCGCACTCGGCCGGTTCTCCGCGTTTTTCTGGTCACAGACGCATAGTGGATTCGGCCGGCCTCAGCCGACTACCCGGGCCGGATTATGTGCGTGGGTGCGCGTTATGTGTGGCGTGTGTGTGTGTGTGTGTGCACGCTTCTGGGCCCTGCGCCTTTTCGACTTGGCTCCTGAAGCTTAATTTCTGCTGAAGCTTATATCCGTGAGCCTCCCGCAGGTGATGATTAAGGCGAGGAGGAGACCAAGGACGATCACGAAGACCTCAACCATGAACAGGGGAACAATAATCATCTTGAAGGATGGGCTGTTATGCTTGTTTGTTTTTTCTGTTGAGGCGTTGTGTCGTTGACGTGCTGGTCTGGTGTCTTGGTGGGCTCGTCCTCTTTGGTTGACTATGTTGCCGGTCTGAACTTGTTTTTGGCGCAAAGAGGCTGCTGGGACGGAGTAGTTCGGCGCGGACGAGCTGTGAGAGTGTCTGCGGCTGCGATGCAGTTTATAAAAAGTCAAAAGGAGCGCCCACGACGGTACGTCACGATCTCGCGCTCTCCGTATTTAATCTCGGATGCTGCCCGGGGGGGCTCTCGGTGGGCACTCCGCATTGCCCTTGACCGCTCGCGCATTCTGGCCGACTCTGGCTTGCCTATTTACGATTCGCAGGGGGGGACGCTGTGTTGGAACGGGGGCAGGTGTCTCTCCGTGGGCTACAGCGAGGAGGGGGATTAGGAGGTCTTGGAGGCTCCGTGGTCTCGTGGGAAAATGCCCCAATCTAAGCATGGTCCCTTGCAAAAACCCACACTTCCCAGAGCAGGCCTCACCGTGTGAGGCAAGGCCCCCCAATCGCCCTCCGGCCAGTTGCAGCAGCTTATTGGCGATTAATTTTACAGGATATCCATAGCCGGTGGATCGAGGCTACCGAGGAACCGCAGGTGGGCCCTCGCTACACGGGCACGACGGGTCCTGTGGCGCTCGAATTCCCGAGCCCCTGAGTCGTCAAATTCACAATCGGCAGCACATAATTACACTAGCCCTCGAGGCCACTTATATGAGCGAAGAGCTTCGCTCTGCACATCCTCTTGTCTCATGACCGCGAAGCGTATGGATTTTCTTGGGGTCGAAGGGCATTGCGCGGGCGTGCCATCGCTTTATCCGACAGCCGAAATACCGCATTTTACCGGAGCCGTTGCTCTTTCGATAGGGACGGGATTGGGGCGTTGGGGGCCATAGTTCCGCGGTGGCGCCCCTTTTTCCCACCATGGAGAGACCCACCCAGAATCCCTGATTTGCAATTCGGATTCCAAGAATCAGAAAGTGCAAGCTCCGATGGGATGTGCGCGAAAAAAACCGCCACCCCCTCGCTCGACGAGGGCGAATCTGGGGCGAACGCGAGTTTTTGGGGTCCGGTTTTGGCAGCTGTGATTGAGCAAAAGATTCCGCGACCCGACTCGGGCCCCCAAAAATTACTCGGATAGAGAATAACCTTTTCTCGTACCGATTGGACTATTCCACTCCAAGAGCAATTGGGATTCTTGGCAACCCCAACGACCTTGGTCACAACAGCAATGTCACCGCACAAATCCCGGGAATCATCCCGTGCCTTGACACAGCTCCTCGCCTCGCATTAAAACGAAGCTTCAATAACTCAAGCCGCAGCTACCCTGGCTCACTGCTACACCAGCGCGCAGCTTGTCTTATCTCCTACACAGTGTAACATGGCCAACCTTCAGGGGGTCTCGGGTAGATCCCCTAGCCAGGGTCCTGAGTTAAAACGTTATCAGAACCTCCGGCCTAGCAGGCAATCGGCCTAGCCAAAGCCTAGGGTGGTGACTATGCAGGCCCTCTAAAAGGGGCCACGCTCTCTCTCACTTGCAGGGTTCCACTTAAGGGGATATGGGGGGCACAACATGACCAGCGGCCTCCTTTGTATGCTGACCCACTCCGACCAGGTCCGGGGGTCTAGAGGCTCAAATATCCTCTACCTAGCACGTTACCTGAGATTGCTGACCGGACTTCAGGTTTCCCGTGCCCCTACGAGCGGCTTGTTAATATAACCCCATGTCTCACTTGGTCACCACCTTACCAATATGTTCTGGCCTCTAATCAGGTACTAGCAGATGGGCAGAAATCCCACTAAAGGGCAATCAGAAGAGATGAAGGAGGACTGCTGTCTGAAATGAATCTTCCATGCGCTATTGTATGGACGCGTGTGGCCGGGCACTCACATTCTCATCCCATTTGAGCATTCCAGAAGCTCGACGAAGACATTGCGAACCCCATATATGGAGAGCGGGAAGAGGCGAGCATGGAGGCTGCGGGCCTGCCGCTTTGATTTATCAGTGCTTTCTCACAGGACCTCGTCCGAGACGAAGAATCCGCGCCCTAGTTGAGTCCTGCCCGCGTCTCCTCTCGATGTTGCACTCCGTCACTTCATGCGAAAACTTCATGCGAGTAACAGGCACGAGAATTTCACCTCGCCAGGTGGGAATATCAAGACTGCAAGACAGTCCATTCCGGAACTCGATCGATCCGATCCAGCAATTCATATGCATAGCACGAGTTGTTATGTGCCTGATTTGCAATCCACAATACGTATTGCTCCTTACTACGTAGCACTATCTTGCTCAAAATTTGGCATGTTGGGAGTTTGGCACTTAACTTGCAACCTGTTTAGTTGTTATACGAGTCCCCAGTTGCCATCTTTGAGTTGAACGCTCACAGCCTTTGTTGATTTCGTGCTCTCAAGATGTCTTGGAGGCCTGAGAAACCATCAACTCACCCCATGATAATTTCCAAACCACTCTTCTCCATCATCGCAAATTGTGTTCCAGTTCCAATTAACGAATCGCAGATCTCATGCCAAGTAGATTGACGATTGGCACTCAGAATAATTGTGGGTGCTTGCGAAAACAAGTCCCAGTTGTTCTTGTCTTGATTCTCCACTCAACATCAGCCTTACTGTTGCTAATCGGAATCTCCCATTTTGGTGACACTTGTTGAAGGCGTAGTGTGATTGACACTGATTGTCCTCTTGCATTCGCATCAGCGAGACAGTCGGGCCATAGTACTCGCTACAGAGAGGCTACGTGCTGTGTTTAACGGGCGGTATTGAGGCAGCCCAGTGTGGAGGGGATAGTCAGGAAGGCCCACTTATCATTGGTTGACACATCTCGCATTTCCTTCAGTTCGAACGGATGGTAAGCCAAGCCAAATGAATATAGCATGACCGGGCATCGGCTCCGTCCTGTGACCGGCAGCGGTGGGCTGGGACGGAGAAGTGGGGCCGCCGCACCTCCGACGTTTGTCGGGATGCCCAGACACAACGGCCAGCCTAGCTGGATGCTCCCAGCTCTGCCCGCGTTAGCGCAGCCAAATCAAGTTTTCTGATGCACACGTTGGAGCTGTCATCCCGGACAGCCGTTCCCTCCCCCAAGTCCAATCGAGTGGTGTGCGTCGGGTGCAGGCATTCACATGCACCACCTCTCCTGGCTTTGGGGGCGACCCGCGCTGCCGGTGACGTCGTGGGTGACGTTGTGGCTCGTCACGCCACACATGCCCACCCTCCTGCCTGAATAGTCGCCTTCTCGGGTGCTAGCAGGTGGGAGGGTGTGGCTGACGACATCGAGAGCTTAATCCTTGGGAGGAAACAAAACACTGGCATATGCACAATTCATAAGTAGTCTCGTAATGTGCCTGCTCCCTGACATCTACAGAATCATCATTTCGAATCTATCCCTACGACGAACCTAGAACACCGGGCGTCATCAGCCACGCACACACTGCAGCAATGTCGCGAACATTGCTATTGTGCCACATACATGGCTTCAAGGTGAGTCTTGACGGAGGTGAGGTCCAGATTATCAATCCACAGCAGTGCTAACTTCGCACCACCAGGGCAACGACGACAGCTTCGGCACTTTCCCAGAGGTGTGTGGGGCCTTTCTCAACAAGGTATTCCATATCACTAATTGACCAAAACTGTTTAGGATTTCCAAAAGCTCCTGAGCAGTCAGCTCTCCGACCACAATGTCGAGTCTGTTATCTACCCAAAATATGCGACCAAGGGAGAGCTCACCGAAGCCAGTGTCAACTTCCTCGAATGGTAGGACTGCCCTCGCCGCAATCTCTCTACAGACTTGTCATAGCTGACACCACGATAGGCTCAAGGAACGAGTGATGGATGTTAGGAAGGCCAAGCTCGAGAAGCCCTGGCCGCCCAACGACAAGAGCGTCGGCGTCGTCCTTATCGCCCACTCCATGGGCGGCTTCGTGGCCAGCGAGGCACTTTTCCACATCCTGGACGAGCGTGCCAACAGCAGTGATCCGACGGCCCCCCTGTTCCCCATGATCCAGGGAGTGCTTGCCTTCGACACGCCATACAACGGCCTCGCGCGCTCCATGTTCGTGTACGGCGGCTTCTCCAACTACCAGAAAGTCAGCTCGGTATTTAATGTCATGACGGCACTCTCCGCGGCCCCCGCCAGCATCAGCATGGCCCTGAAGCGCGGCGCGAGCTCCGTGCCGGGATCAAGCAGGGTCACCAACCCGGCGGCCTGGAAGACGTGGCAGCTCGTCGCGGTGCGGACTGGCACGGTCGGCGCCATCGCCGCCGGCGGCGTGGCCGCTTATGTCCACCGCCAGAAGATCAAGGACGGCTATCAGAACATGAGGAACCTGAAGAAGCAGGACATTGTCGAGGGTTACCAGCAGGGCGTGGACCGCCTCGGTCAAGGTCTTGCCTATGTCAACCGCGGCAATGTCGGGCAGTCTTTTGCGTGGCTGAGCGACCACTTCACATTCGTTGGCGTGCTCATGAAACAGCAGGAGCTGAACCGGAGGCTCGAGCGGCTTGCGAACTTGAAGGGTATCGGTATCCACGACATTTACTGCTCAATGGGGGAGAACGGGTACTGGAGCGGCGGTTACTTCGTTCCAGAGCGGACTTTCTGCGCTGTCCCGGCTGACGACCAGCCTGCTAGCAATTTGTTCTCCAGGCATGTCGTCAACAACGCGGAAGACGAGATCCAGGCACACATGTCTTTGTTCCTGCGCGACAAGAATGAGGACTACCAACTCATGATCGACAAGGCAAGCAAGCTGGTGATCGCCTGGTTCAACGACGACTCCGAGATTGTCGACAACCCTGAAATCACAAAACCAGGACCAGCCGACTCTGCCGAGAACGCCATCAAAGCCACGGACGAGGGGGTCGAAGTCGAGGGGGAAACGGCCACGACAGAGAATGTCGACGACACCCAAGCCTCAGAAGATACCGACGGGATCCCAGACGAGTCGCCCCTCGACATCGCCGCGGCCGCGTCCCTGGTGCCCCTGCCAGACGACGCCGAGGACGCCACGACGGGCGAGGCCGTGCCCGAGGTCAGGGACAAGCAGACGTACTACAGGTACCTGATGGGGATCGCCCAGTCGACCGGCACGGGCATCTCCCAGGCGAGCTCCGGTGTCAAGGGGTACATACCCACGAAGCTGCCGGCGATCCCGAAGCCGAGCATCCCCACCATGCCCAGCGTGAGCCTGCCCAGTGTCGGCGTGCCGGGTGCTGGGTTCTTCTCCAAGAAGGAGAAGTCGAGTGCCTCGGAGGCTACCGCTGCGACGGCGGCGGCTGGGCAGTCGGCGGAGGGCACTGAGAAGACTGAGGGGTCCAAGACTGAGGATTCCAAGACTGAGGAGTCCAAGACTGCGCAAGATACCGGAGTGAGGCAAGAGGAGACGCAGGTGAAGACCGATGCTGCATGAATGATGACTGACATGGGTTTGCTTTGGTTTTCTGCGACGCTTGGACTTGCTAGCCTGGATTCTTTGACTTCTACCTCTTCCTAAGAACTGTTCTCCCTGATAGCACTTCACCTTCAATTCAAGCTTCACGTTTCTTTTGCCACGAGCTTGATCGAGCTTTGGTTTTACCTAAATTAGCCTTTAGGAAAGCTTAGCGTGCGTTGGAATCATACTCAATTCTGAATTGACTTGGTGTCAATAAATTCAAAGATGGCATTCCAATAGTCTACCTAGGTACAGATCCAGAGTAGTACGAGTTCAAATAATGACAACGAATTAAAAGATTACCTGAAAGCATAAAGCGGTCTGTCAATAACATAATATTGTATCAAATTGAAAAGGCTTAGGCCGAGCTGATCAGCTCAGCCACAAGGCGATTGTGCTGTTTGGAATCATCTTGCCCACAAGGGAAACCACCCGACTAATAAGGCCGACGTTCAGCCTCACCATCAGATGATGAACACGTGCCCGTCGAGGCTGACATGCGGTAGTACACCTCGTATCGCGCTGAGCTGAGACTGTACATGGCGGCGGGTGCAGATGTTCGTATTGGTCAACTACAGTCGGCCCTTCACATCGCCGCGGTGATGAGCCGGCGGGCGCTGCGTAAGATAATTCCAGACTCGTCCCGAGTCTCACACGACAAAGTCCCTTTTGCGGGCATCAGGCGCGACCTGCCGAGTTACCCGTCCTTCTGGACTCTGAATTATAAATACAGCGCCGCCTAATTCTCCTTGCACATCTCCATTCAAACACCATCGACATAATATCTAGCACATCTTGAGCCATAATCTACATCTCACTCGCTATTTCCGAGACACCAGTCCGAAGTCAACAACAATGAAGTACTCCCAGGCCGTGTCTATCCTCTCCGCCCTCGCCGGGCTCACCTCCGCCGCCCCGGCGGCCGAGACCCGCCAGTTCAAGGCCGTTATCACCTTCACTGGCGCTGCAGCCTCTTACACCCTGAACGTCCCCACGGATGCTACCCTGTTCCAGACAAGTAAGTAATTACATAGGGGCCATAAACCTTAGCCTGTCTTCAACTCGATTTCCCCCTTCCTACCCCCCTGCGAAGACCCTGTGAACTGACCCGGACCCATCTGTGGGGAGCAGACAACAACCTCGCCATCGACACCATCAGCTCCCAGGGCGGAGCGACCTGCACGTTCTTCGGTGTGGATGGCGCCAGCGTCACCATTGTCGGCGCCCACAGCGCTACTGTCGCGCCGCCGCAGGCTATTCAGAGCGGCAGCTGCCTGGCTCTTTAGGGGACAGCCGGTACGGATCATGTAACCCCCCCCCCCGGCGGCGATGGTAGCGAGGAGACATTTTGTTGATATCTTGGCCGGCATAATTGAAACAGTGGCATTCATTTACGTCAAGCATGTACTGCCTCGAAGCTGGTCACTCTCCATCGTAAACCCCCGTTGACGTGAGGTTCGACGTGGATGTCCTCTTGTTCCTACTCCTCCAAGTCAAACTCTAGCCTGGATTGTGGAGTAGACTTAAGCTCAACTTCCCTGTCTGCCAAAGCTGGACTCTATCATCTGTTCATATCGTACATAAATCCGGACACCAGCCTAGCGACATCACATGTGATAATGTTTGTCACATTTCTTCAGGGGCACTCGGATATGCAGGCTCTCCAAGTGTGACGAAACCTGGGCCGTAAATTTACGGCAACGGAATTTCGTATACAATTGGTCTCGTAACGAGACCCTCTACTCTCTATCTGGGTCGTATTGCCCTGGGCTCGTCTGGTTGAACCAGCGGTGAGCCAGAGCCTCTCGTGCGGTGATCCTCCTCGCCGGGTCCAGATTCGTCATCTTACCAACCAGGTCCCTGAACGACTCGTCCACATGCATCCACCCCGCGAAGGGCCTCCGAGGCTCCTGCTCGCCGAAGCTCTCCGCCAGTTCGGCGAAGCGACCGAACCACCGGCTGTCCTCCCCGATGTGCCGTACTAGGCCCTGCAAGCTCTCGGTATCCGTGCCAAAGATGGAGATGTGTCTGCGGAGGATGTGCCACCACGCGTCTTCCCCGTTCACTTGCTCGTCGGTGAGCCCATTGTAGAACACCATCCTGTTGACCATCACATAGATGGCGACTACGCCGAAGGAGAATATGTCGGACGGCGGTTCCTGTATGGCACCCGTCCAGGACTCAGGGCTTCGCCATAGCTTGTTGCCCAGTACGGCACCTTCGATCGCCGTGTCAGGTTCTAACTGCACCGCGTCTTCTAGATCTGAAAGCTTGACGTCCTTGATCACCACAGCTTTCCCATCAGGTTGCTCCTCGTAGTCGATAAGGATATTGTTTGGCTTGATATCTGGTATTACGTCAACCATTCTGTTCCGTTGGGAAGATCTAAGAACCAATACGAGAGTGTAGGCGCTCACCTGTGTGGAAGATTCTGCGGTCATGGAGTGCAGCAAGGCCAGTGAGTGCACTCTTGAGGATACGCTTTCTCTGCTCCTCCAAAAGTGGTTTCTGGCTGACTTGAAGAAGGTCACCAGTCATGAAAGGGTAGACGTATAATTTGAGACTTGGGACCGTATCGACCATGGTCCGCAGGTTTGAGCATCCTGCCAGACTGGCCTGCAGCTTCTGCGGGTACTCAAAATCGCCTTCGTAGCTGACGATGGCGTTCTTGATGATGAAATCTTTTCCCTCGCAACTTCAAAAGTAGTCATGCAGTCAGCCCAGAGTCAACGTGTCAACCTTTTGGAAGGGAGGGGTGGGGGTGGGCCGATTTGTTGAGCCCGTACCTTGCGCGATATACACATAGTAAAGGGTCTCGTCGGTCGACAAGTATTGTATTCACGTTGTATGTTCGCCCTGAATTTCCTGAAAGAGCTGTTCCAACCGGACAAGGCTCGCGTGGAGGTGCTTGGGCAGAGGACGACATGTCGCGGAAGGACTGGCGTGAAGATGCAAACCCAAGGGTGGTGGGCCGGGCAAGTGAAGGTCGGAATCTGAATGCGGCGCGTGGACTGAGGGTTGTCAACTGCCTCCCGAGGCCGGAGTAGGAGATGCGGCCGACTTTAATGCCCATGGCGAGTATGTCTCAGAAGGACTGTCGTCACTGTCTCGCGGCCTATCTGCAGGTTGCATGGAGATTTTGGCGATTATTTATAGCGCCTGTGATCCTTCTTGGTGGAGACGTTCCGCAATTCTAGGCGCAGGCGCAGGCGCGGCGGTCTAACATCCAGCCCTCGTGGGGGCTGACTTGGTGCGGCACAGGAGGCAAAGAATCCAACGTCGACCAATTGAGGCTGGGCTGGACCTGACGTTATGGCGCCGCCAGAGGCGTCACTGCATGCCATCGACTTCTAATTAGGCCGGGCACCACTATATCCCTCCCTCCAGCCAATCAGACAACAAGATGCCACCTGACGCACTTCACGCCCACGCCCAGCCAACTGGCCGATGTTGGCTCGAAGCTGTCTCGAAATGCTCATGATGTTCGCCAGGCACTTGTGTTGGATCCAAAAGTTGTTGTATTTTCGTCCGCTCGGCCACCACTGGGACCGGTAATTGTGGTTCTCGTACGTTGCTGTCGGCCGGGTGAGCGACATGAAGAGACCAACTGCAACAATGCAATCCTCCTCTTTCTATTCTTGGACGGAGGTGCTCTGTTCTAGAGAATTGCTTGAAGAATGCTGAAATATAAATTGCGCTCTGTTGCTGGTCAAATATCGTCTTGTCCATCGTATTCATCATTCCCAGACATCAACATCCTCAACAACAAAATATTATATCCTTTTCTTTTTCATCACTCGATTTTCTACATAAATCAGCGAACAATATATCAATACGCAAAAATGGCTCCCATGGCAAAGACATTCAAAGCTGTTGCAAACAAGGTTGTGAAGAACCGATCGATCAAGCTTGGTTTCGTGGAGTCAACCGACAAATGGAAGAGGATTCAGTTGAGCAGCAAGGTCCAGAACGAATTCAATAAGATCGTGGAGGACTACGCGAACAGTATCAAGCCCGACGCAGTCGGAGTTTATATGCAGTAAGTTCATCCTTGTTCCTCACGAGAATTTACTACCCTACAGAAATAGCTAAATTCACCACAATAGGGAGACTCCACACCAGAGCGAGAAGGATGCCCGAGATCACTTCACCGCCGTCCAGGTTGATAAGAACGGAAAGGTTCTCACCACCTCCCACTTTGCAGTCAAGAAGAAGTAGGAGGATTCTCAGGTTCAAAAGCTTTTCTGCAGGCAGAAAGCAGTGGCACGCGGGATCCCGCTGGCCCGGTAGAAGATTTGGAAGATGCTTTGGTATCACGCAATCAATTTGGTAGTTGTTAGTAGTGTTAGATATCTGCTCTAGGCTCATATCACTCAGTCAATCGTTAAAATTGTGCCCTGCCAATGTTGTTCAAGATCCGATACTTTCTCCACAAGATATGAAAAACCTGTGTATTACATCTCTAGATTGGCTTGGAATCGAGTGACGAGGTACAAAACCGCTAAATTGGCACTTTGTCTCTCCTCACTAACAAAAGACTAGTCTAAGACCAACGCCTCTTGGATACCCGTCAACTATTGTGTTGCAACTGATATCGGCGAGATATTAGCCTCAAATCAACTCGTGCTCCGCAATCTATGTCAAGCGTTTCAAGGTCAAGCATGAACATGAGCTACCTCGCCCCCCCCCCAGCTGCGCCGCAGAGCATAACCCCCCGGGTGGTGGGAAGGAGAGAGAGAGAGAGGTTGCGATCCCCGACTCTACCGTTCCAGCTACTACTCTGCTGATACTGCAGGATTCGATTGGTGGAATTAGGACATCTTTGGTATTTTTTTACCCGGTATAGCTAACATACAGGGAATCAACCAAACGGCCAGCCTTGTTACATGCAGACCTCTTGCGTTCTATGCTCGTAGCGGACCGTTGATGTTTTTCGGTTTTACTCCCTATGTCTACATTCTCATCCTCTCTCTGTCCGACAACTGAGCAACAGAGACGATACTCCGACACCATCAGTGCCCAAAACCTTGGCTCTTATTGTGTTCTGGCCCGTGGTCGAGGCCCGAAGCGCGCGTTGGGACGAACAGGCCATGAGAGAGCGGCCACGACAGATCCACACAGACCGAACAACAGAGCCAGGTACACATACGGGCCGAGACATGTATTCAATGTTGGACAACTCCAAGGCGACTAACCTCCAGTTCTTATATTTCCAGGAAGAGGATTACTTTCAAAAAGACGGTCATTCATCAATTTACCGCTACCTCCCAGTTGTGCTTCGTCAAACGCCCTATGACCCCGCCAGTACCTGACCAGCCGGTATATGCCAAAAAGAATTACACAACCAACCGCCCAACCGACGAACCATCCACCGACCCACCCCTGTTCCTCTCTTCCCCATCGCCTTCCTTGCAGCAGAGAGAGAGACAAAGGAGAAGGAAGAAAGAGAAAGCCAACCATCGCACCCATGCACGGAATAACGACAACTTAGTGACAAGAAAAAGCACAAAATGATGCGCTATGCCCTCCTCCTCACAACCACCGCCCAGTACAAAAGAGAAAACATGGGGGACCATTAGCCAGGTTATATCTTCCGTCGTCAAAAATCCCCATCAGCCCCTCTTGGACTCGGCCCTCTCCCTCAGCTTGTTCTTGCCCTTACTCAACAAACCCTTGCCCATCTTACCGGCGCTCTGCAGCAGCTCCTTGCCCTTAGCCCCGGCCTGCCCGGAGTGCATGACCAGGTTGCCCATGTTGAGGCTGGTGCTGGGCGTGCGGCCGACGCCCCCACCTCCTCCGTCCTCGCCGGCCCCTTCGACCCCGGGCGCCGGCGCGTTGAGCGGGATCCGCACCGCGCCGCCCTTGGTGCCCCACAGCTCCGCGTCGTCCCCGGACAGCGCGTAGTTGTACGACGGCATGGCGTTCTCGTGCGCCGGCTGCGCCGCCATCTCCGCCAGCCACGAGGCGAGGCCCGTCTCCAGCACCGCCAGGTGCTCGCGCGTCTCCTGCATCTTCTGCACCCGGTCGGGCGACGACGGCAGCTGCAGGACCTGCTTGAGCGACATCATGTTGTACGCCGGCTGGCTCTGGCGCTTGGTGTCGTCGACCCCGCCGCTCGGGCCCGCCTGCGTGGGCGACGGGCTGCGCGGCAGCGGCACGCCCTCGGGGGGCTCATGCGGTGGTGGCGATGTGGTGCGTTGTTGCTCTTCGTCTTCTGCGATCGGAATCGGCTCCATCGGGGATAGGGGGGACATTGGTGACTGGACCAGCATCTTTTCCTCGGACGGGTAGAGGTGTTTGTTCGCGCCCTCCTCAGGTGGCGGGGAGAAGGTGTCCTGGCCTGGAGACAGCGTGCTTACTGCTGATGCCACTTGGGGGGAAATGTCGCTGTCGAAGTTCACCGTCGGCAGGGATAGAAGAGGGGAGCCACGGCCATCGCTGCCAGGGCTCGTGGGGTCCTCGTGTCGCGCTGCAGTAACCGGGCTTGTCAAGCTCTCTGGAGACTCGGTGGTTGGCTGTTTCGTCGGCGAGGCTTGTGCAGAGCTGCCGCCGCCGGGAGTAGAGCCTGCCTCCCATGAGAATCGCTCTCGCCTCGGCGCTGACGTGACAGCCTCTGGCTCGGCAGCTGGGATGGCTGGCGGGGTAGCGTCCGTCGTCACAGGTTCGAAGGCTGCTTGCGCGGGAGGTCTAGGCGTGCCATCTGCAGCCTCGTCCTTAGCTGGTGAGGCAGACCCGACTTGGCGGAGACCACTTTGGTTCTGAGGGATCTCGACCTCGGGCGGCCTGTCCTCGCCTGACCAATAGTCACCGTAGACATCATTTAGGTATGCGCTCTCGCGGGCTGCGCTCTCGTCTCGAGGCGGTTCGATGTGCCCATCGGAGGGACGGACCGGGCTAAGGCTCCGCATAATCTCGTCGCGAAGGACATCGCTCTCCTTAAGTGGCGATGCGTTGTCTGCCGTGCTCACCGTGTCGACTCTGGTTATGGGATTGCTCGGTTGCGTCGGGGCTTCCTCCACGAACGAGTTTTTACGGGGCTGCAATGGGGCGATCGGGGTCATGTCTCGGCGGGCCTGGGCCCTGTCCTGGGTGTCTTGCTCCGGAAGGGAATCCTGCGTGGCGTCGTCTCGCGCTTGGGGCCGCTCTGCTGTAGCTTTGAGATAGTTGTGATTAGCGGGCGACGCGCGTCCGGACCTGTTGGAGTGTTGATCGTCGTGGGCGCTGAATGCACTTGCACTGCCTGGCGATGGTGTACGCAGAGGTGCTGGTTTGAGGTGGGCGTCTTCTGGGCTCTCACTGATGGAAGGTACATCGCCTGGGGCGGCGGCTATGCTGCTGCCAGCAGTGGCCATGTCTCCTGGTGTGGTGGCCGTCTCACTGACCCAGGCTCCAGGAAAGGAGGGGCGGGACGGCTTTGACTGGTTGCCAGATTGTCCGTCGTCTACTGTGCGTGGCACACTCGCGGTATCGTGTCCCGTACGCGTTGGCGACGTGTCGGTGGGGGGCTCTGACGACTTGGGTGAATCGCTCGTAAAGCCCATACCTCCAGAGAAGAAATCACCACCAAAACCACTCAACCTCGAAAGGAGGGGCAGCTTGGGGCTCGTAGAATAACGCTTCACTGGTTCGGCTGGGGTTTCCGTAGCGTTGGATGCCTGGGGGTGGTGCAGCGTCGGCGGCTGGGGATGGGAGGGGATCGAAGGCTCGGGCACATTTGCATTCCTAGATTCGGCCTGGGTCTGGTTCTGGTCCTGGTGCGACGCCTCTGGGTTCGGTGGAGCTGGAGCTGCTGGGTTGATCATCAGCCCATCAAATCCATACTCGCTCTTTCTCTCTGCGACCGTGTCCAGGGGTCGCAAGCTGCGGTTGGCCTCTCCTTCATCGTTCCTGCCGAAACTCGGGCGCCGTCGGGCATTTGTCGCGTCGCCGCCGTCTTCACTACTTCGACCCCCGATACTGTCCAGGCTTGGCCTCCCCGCCGACTCCATTGACCTACGTTCTTTCTCCTTCTCCTCCTCCATTCGCTTGTAGATGTCGGATGGCCGGATGAACTTCGGTGGTCCTGTCGCCGAGGCAGGCGATCTCGCCGCGTTCGCTGGGGACTCGGGTCTCGAGCTCGTCCGGGGCGGTCGCGCGTCGGCACTCGTCAGGTCGGGTCTGTCCTGGCTCGTCATGCTGCTCTTTCGGGGCGGGAACGGTGAGGCTGCAGCACCCATCGGCCCCGGCGGCCCCGCGACCTGGGGTGGTGGCTGCGTCGGCGTCTTGGTCGGCGTCTGGATGTGCAGAGCTGGCGGCCCGCTCGCGCTCCTGTTCCCAGCCGCCTGCTTCTCCAGGGCTATGCGCTCGCTCGGTCTCAGGCTGGGCGACGAGCCGGCGGATCCTGAGCCGGGCGTCGGTGGTCCGCTGTTGGATATCGCGCGCAGCCCGGCCGTCAACCTGCCGGGCCTCTGAGCCTGCGGGGGCTGGTTGAAATAATCTTGGCGCCCACCTGCGCTGCCCGTGTCGTGGGCATCGTCGTCGTTAAACTCGTCGTCGATTTCTCCCCAGTCGTCACCGTCGTAATTCTGCGTCTTGGCCTCGACCCATTTCCTCGTCTTCTGCCGGTTGACGTTGACCTTGTACTGGCTTGCCTGGCCGTAAGGCGTGTTTGGGGTTCTGCACGATGACGCGGAACATTAGACTTTGGCGCTTGGAAAAGACGCATGGAGGGAGCGAAACACCGGCCGGCTCGCATCTGCATCTACTGAACTTACGCTGGCGAACGGGTGTCCATCGTGGACAGCTTGGGATTCTTTTGCGCGAGGCGTACGTCGCTGCTGGCTGCTGGCGGGATTACCGGTCTCTCCGCAGGGTTTGGGCCGAGTCGCGGACGTGGTGTCACCAATGTGGCATTTCGTGGGCGCCCTTGCCTCCAATATCGCTGCCACCTGTAGTGGAGAAGTCGAGGGAGTTGCTCAGATCGATGGCGCTGGCCGTAACAGGCAGTGAGGCGAACAAGAAGAACAGGACGGCAGCGCAGTGGCGGGAGGGAAGTCGATCGCAAGAAGCAGACCACCAGTGACGAGGAGTGACGAGTCGTGGAGCCAAGTCGGGCGGGTAATATGTGAGCAGGGGGGATATAAATAAAGCCAAGCGGATGGGTTTTGTTTCCTCGCGGGATGGAAGCTCCACGAAACGGAACTTCGGGCTCAAGCCGGTTGGCTGTCTTCTTTTTGAGTTGACGAGGACGCCGGGCAGGGCAGAGGATGCAGAGCAGAGGACAGGAGGAGTTGTGAGTGCGGGATTGCTGCAGGTGGATACTGTATACGGGCCCAGCAGCGAGCAAGACGAGAAAAGGGCAAATCCTCCAAGGTCATTTAGGACTCGGGTCTGCTTGGAATTGGGCAATCTGGCTGATGAGCAGCGGCTGCATTGTCCCGTCCCACCCTCGTCCTCCTCGGTCCTCTGGTGCCGGCCAAGCCACAGCTCGCAGAGTTGCATGAACTCGTTCTTCTGACTGCCGGGAGGCCCCCCCTTTACCCTTTATCACCTTACCTTACACAGACGGTATGACGAACCCCACATTGGCGCACCCATCCGGGGCATTCAAGCAGTTCAAGACGACATCATGCTGGTGGCGATCAACGGCGATTCCAATATTATATCGCCCACCCCAGTTTAGCCTTAATGAAAACACACACTCAAGTACAAGCATCTGCAATAGCCAGGGCTTGCTGCCCAGAGCCGTCAAGGACGCCACGCCACCTGCAGCCCGACTGCCCGGGCCCCATCGTCTGCATAGAGATGGGATGACGTCCTATCCCTTAGCATGTCTCGAACTACCCACCTACCCCTGAAGGAAGGAAGAAAAGAGTTGACGTCCTCCCGGAAAAAGCACGTCCTTGAGCAAGGCTGGCCAGCTGTCCGGGCCCCAGGCACAAGGTCTAGTTCCCACCTGCCACGGACGCTCAGATAGCCCGCTAGCGACGGACGACGATCATTCAGGTCATCCAGTATCTACGCCTGTGCAGTGTCCAAATTTTTGATGGTGATGCGCTACCTACAATAGACTTCGGTGCCACAGCATCAGCCGAGGCTTGAGATAGACGAATGTGGTTTCCTCCCCCTTCAACGTCCCCCATATGCACATCGCTCGGCTTCCTCGCATGTCGCATGCGACTGTGGCTTGGCACAGGTGCAACCATTCATTATACGAGGTTTACATACGGGGGTTGCATGGCCCCCAACTTTTGACAGCCGATCGGACCGAACGTGGAGGACAGACACATTGCTGGCGTGCATACTGCCGGGGTTCCCACGTTCGTCGTACAGCACTGCCCAAGGGCCCAGGAAATGGTACGGCACGCCCGGCTTCTTGTAGCAGCTTGCTTGTTTCTGGAGTCCCGCCGGGCCGCCGGCCTCCGTCCGGTCAGTTGGGTGGTGTCTGTGTTTGGGATATATTCTGACAGATGTAATTCATCAGTGTCAATCATACCCAAACTGCAGCCGTCTGTGCATGTTGACCATGCTCTCGGGACAGCAAGCGATGTTTCAGATCCCGGGAGGTGTCACCTCGATATTGAGTATTCTTATATGTGTTTATATATCCTAAGTTTTTGTGGCCCCCTCCAACGCCAAACAGGCTCAATGAGCCAGAATCTTCCTAGTCTATGCTATAGGCCTCATCTAGATATTGTACAACCAGGCTCCGGATATATGCAAAATGAGCTGACACGAGAGGGGAGGGGGAGGTGGATAAGTAGGTAGGTAGATAGTTAGGCGCATTTGACCTTGACCAACCCAACGAGAAAGGAGCCAGGGGTTGAGAAGAAACTGAGTAGCGTGTTGACCCCGTCCGTGGCGAGGGCGGAGGTAATTCTCATGGAGCATCCATCATGCCTTCGTAGATCTTACATCGTCGCCCTGCTTTATTCTGGCCACGACCCTTCCTATCCTGGCTGTGGTAGGTGATGCACAGTATCTGTCTTGGTGTGATGTGATATGATGTGATGTGTGTGTGTCTTGCGCGGTGTGGTCATGACGGGGTCTCCAGGAACCGAAGGATGACCTCGTACATGCCGAACATGATGGCAGCACTCGGCACCGTCCGCATGAGGTGCGGTGTCAGCCCGCCATACAGGCCCACCAGGCCCTCCTCTATCCACACGCGCCTGAAGCACTGGACCAGGCCTGTGTATTTCGGCTGTCCGCCCGCCGTTGGTGCCTGTCGTAATCGTGTTCTCGCGACCTGTTCGCTGTGTCAGCACAGTCGTTGCTCACCCAACCCAGGGCGCTGAATAAAAAGGGTTTGGGACCGGAGATCACGAACCTCGTGCGGATAAGATATCACGGCCGCGAATAGCTTTGCGCCGCCGGCCGCGCCCGCCTTGCCCGTGTAGTCCACAAAGTGGTCCCACCAGTTCCACTCGCGCCCGCTGGCCACGAGCCTCTCCTCGCGGTGCCTCAGCGACTTCTTGAGCCGCTCGTACAGCACCCACTGCAGCGTCGACTCGGTGCGCCCAGGTAGCTGGCGCTCAGGCCCTTGAAGAACCCCCGCGGGCCCTCGGTGCGGAAGACCTGCCTTATGCAGTCCAGGCTGTTCTTGTACTGCCGCTTCGCCACGCCGCCCGTCTGCTCCGCGACGTTCTTGTCCAGCTGCAGCCGCGTCTTGATGAGCCAGATCGGGTTCGTCGCCGTACCCGTCGCCACGCCCGCGACGACGGCCGCACTCAGGTGCACCCACGACGCCTCCTGCCCGTGGTTGAGGTATTCCGAGATGAGCCGCTTGCCGTTGCCGTACACGTAGAAGTTGATCGACCTCGCCGGGATGACGCCGACGAGGTTCGGCCCCAGGCCCTTGAAGAGCGCGCGCCAGCCTTCTTGCTTCGGCACCGAGGAGAGGATCTGGAGCGTTTCTGTGAGGTGGTACATGCCCGCGCGCACCGGGTTCATGTTCGCGTGGGCTTGCCGCGCGGCGCGGAGCTGGGCTTGGTAGAAGTCTGACTGGAGGCGGGTCTTGAGGACGTCGAGGGGCGCGGTAAGGGCGGCGGCTGTCATTCCGCCCACGCTGTAGATCAGAAACCACGGTCAGTACGGACCCGGCTCCCGAAACGCTCAGAGTTCATTTGGCAGGCTCGAGGTGGGCTTGGGCCTTCTCTTACGCTCCGGCTACCATATGGTGCCATGATTTTGCAAACGGTAAAGCCTTTACAGGCTGGCTCGAACCGATCGGACGCGCCTCTGGTATCACCTCACCGGTTTCTCTCGACTGGATAAGCGGCGAGAGACGTTCTGGCGTCCGCTGCTCGCTTCGGCCATCGTGCCTGTCGGAGGCCATCGTGTAAGTCGCCGGCGTCGCGTTTTGCGCCATTGCCACTCAGGGCTGCTGAACCTGCGGAATCCCACCCACGAAAACGGAGTCTGTATTATCGCACCCTGAAGAACATGTCGTTCCGGGCTGGAGGCTGTTCCTTCGGGCGGTGGGTCGAGGTTGGAGGAGACAAAAAGAAGAATCGACTGATGGGGAGGAAACTGAACTCATCCATGACGAAAAATCGCCGATAAGATTGGCACGTCTCCCGCCCAAAATTTTGGGCAGGGGTCTGTCTGTCTTGGTGATTATCTAAGCCGTGATTGGAGATTTTGCAGTGAAAGCTAGCCAACCTCGGACAGTGAATAATCATCCCGCTTCATCCATCAATGCAAGCCTCGGAGGCCTCGAGAGCAGCCAATGTCAATGATCCTTAGGTTCTCTGTATATATTTACTACTTGCTTCCTAACAGTCGACGCCTCTGCTCGTTGAGGATGTCGATGTCATAAGCCAAAGCTACATAAGAGCAGCAGCTACCCTTCGATAGCTCTTCATTCCACTGACATCAAAGGGATTGAAGACAGCGAGCACTTATCATCCCTAGATAGATACTTCTTGAAGAAGTCTTCTTCTATCAGCGGCTAATATCACGACCAGAACGGCACACGGGACATCACCGCTGGAGAATCATGCAGTAGTCATCAATAAACTCCTCCCAATTTTATTGGTCTAGCAATGTTTTCGAGTCCATCATGTCCTCGGCCATCGTCGCGGCATTGCGCCGAAGTATCAATCTAATCCTGGGGGGAATGGTTTGAGACGGAGCGCACACGGTCGCGACATGCCCCATCGTCCATGTGTACGAGTGTATCCCCACCAGGCCACCACAAATTGTGGGTGAACAAACCGTCCAGAAACGCCAGACCCGCGGCGAGGGGGTCAAGGGAAAGAGCCGGAAAGTGAAAAAAAGAAGGCATTAAAAAGGGGCAAATACCGCCAACAACTCCGATCCATGAGTCTCATCAATCAAATCGGACAAGAGTCCTCCAGGTCCTCGGCCTCGGCCGAGATGAGGAAGGCTTGCCGAAAAAGAATTTGCTCCTTGAAAACCTGGCCGCTCTCATGACCACCAGGGGAGCAACATAGAGCGATGGGGAGAGGAGTGGTATAGATCAGCGATCCGATCTAGAACGAAATCAACAGGTCCCTCAAGGGTAACATGGATTTCCGGTCCAGCGATAACCGACAAGTGCATGGATGAGCTCTTCGAATTTCCGTCCACCTCTTGACAGGCACCTCAGGCAAGAGCGCGCGTGAGAATGTTGGTCAGGGCGCGGAACTCCAGCTCCGCCATCTGCGCCAGCGTCATGTTGTCGAAGGCCGGGCCGTGGGGGAGGTTCAGCTCCTTGAAGAAGAAGCCCCAGTACAGGTTCGTCTGCGTTCCCTCGTTGTGGATCTGAGACTGGATGTTGGGCTGCTGAAGGCCGACCGTGCGGTTGGTCTCCTCGCGAATGAGGGCGATGTAGTACTGTGGAGGACGAGGTCAGCAAAGTTGCTCCTTGACTTCGTGGTAGAGGAAGAAAGGCAATTCACGTACCTCGAGAACATCCAGTGGAGTACCAGGCTTGGGGCACAGGGTGTAGGCGTGCACCCACATGTTGGCAAAGCGGGGCATGTTGAACTCGCGGAGGCGGTCCTCGGGGATGTCAACCTGGTAAGCAATGTTGTCCCTCATGGTGACGGTGAAGCCGTGGCAGAGCATCGCGGAAGTCCAGAGGCGCTTGAGCAGCTGCGACGTCAGGTGCTCCTCGTCCTTCTTTTCCTTGATGGCATGCTGGAGCAGGCGGATGAGCTGGATGCAGGCGCTGTACACCGAGTGGCGCTGCTTGATCGTGATACAATCGGTCTTGTACCAAGGGAGCTTTCGAAGGGTGCTGATCATGCACTCGAAAGGGCGCTGGGGGCAATCGCGAGAGAAGGGGGACTGCGAGAAGACACGATTAGCCGACTGGTCAAGAGAAGGGTATGCGATGGGGATTTAACTTACTCGCTGGGGAACCTCAACGTGCTTCACCAGCATCGCCTGTGAACAAAGATGTCAGCATTTTCAGAATACTGGCCCGGACGATCGCAGTCTTACCATCTCCTCGTCAGAGACGAATCCCTTGAAGCAGTTCCACGGCTCCGACGGGTGGTCCTCGAGGACGACCGGCACGGCCCCCTCCCAGCGGACGCCCTTGGCAAGAGGGAAGAGGTCCTTCATGAGGGCCGCCTGGCTGGAAAGCTCCACCTCGATGGGGCGGTCGCCGAGGCGGCTGAGGCGGCCGTTGGCCACGGTCTTCTGGTGCTTCTCGACCGCGTTGACGGCAGCCTGCATGCTCATAAACTCGACGTACGCATCATTCGTCTTGCTAGTAACGCGCTCCATAATGATGTGCACGGGTTCCTGGTTGTCGTTCAGGACCTTGGAGTTGCGGCCAAGGAAGGCGAGGACCTCTGCACGCTTGGTACCAAAGGGGATCTATTGAGTTCTGTCAGCGAGCTGTTGCCAAATTTCATATTGGAAGGGAAAAGACGTCTCAGACTCACGTTCTTGAGCTTCACAACACCACAGTGAGTGGTAGGCTGCGCGTTGCGAGCGCTCTCAAGGAACGGGAAGTTCGAAGCATCCAGAGCAGCCTCTGGACGGGGGCGGCCAGTCGGTCCGGCCGTCAGCTCGTTCAGCTGCTTGGATCGCATGTTGCGGATCTGCACCGGCACGGCGCTCTCGTGGAGGACCATGGCGGACTGTGGCTCGATCGGCTGGATGACGCTGGACAGAGCAGGTCCGTTGAACGGGTCCATCACAGAGTTGTTGGAGGACGAGTGTCCTGGCGACGCCGTCGCCCCACGAGGCGAAAAGGGACCTCCGGCAGAGGAGGGCGAAATCACACTGTTATATACCTGCTGGTGAACAGGCACGGGAGTGTGCAAATCGAATCGAGGAGGAGGCTCGGTCGAGACGTTAGCGCGGGCATCATAGCTGCGCGGGTCGGTCCGTCCTCGATAAGAGGGAGACACCATGTGCTGAGCTCGCGTCGTGGTTGCTCCAGGGCTGCTGTACACGCTGGCAGGCGGTGCGGGAGTCGATTGGCCGTAAGGGCTACCCGCCACAGATCGCACCGGAGTGGTAGCCGCCTGCTGTTGTTGCTGCATGACAACATTGTTCTGCGGCTGGAATGGAAGGGACTGATTCGAGTACTGGGCAGAACGAGCAGCGCCTTGCGGGAATGTGTGCTTCGGACTGGGCTGTGCCTGCGGGTACTGGCTTCCGAGATCCAGGTGCGCCTGCAAAGTGGACATGGACATCTGCTCAAAGGAGTTGCCATTGCTTCCGTCGGCGACAGGAGCCATAGCCCTCGCGCCATTGGGCATACAATTCATGGCCGAGGGGGAAACAGCATTAAAACCCCGGACGCCACTGCCGTGCTGCTGAGAGACGTTATCATACTCGGTGCCAAAGTTGGTGCCGTTCAATCCGTTCATGTTGTTGACATGTTGAGCGGCGTTGCCGTTGGACATGCCGAAAGCTATCTCGTTGGTGTTGACGTGCTGCTGAGGCGCGTTGCCATCTCTAGCAACTAAGGCCTGGCTCATGTTGTTGACATCGTACTGAACACCGTTGCCATTGGGAACAGCAAAAGCCATTCCATTGGTGCTGATGTATTGTTGCTGCTGTTGCTGCTGTCGCTGGTAGTCGGGGTTGTAACCGTTGGGGCTCATGTAAGTCACTCCAATGGTACCGTTGACATTACTTCGGACGGGCTGAAGGGCCATTCCGTTGGCCATGGCCATACCGTTGTTCTTGGGGAAAGGGACCTGAGACTGAGACTGGACACCGCCGATCTGGGCTGGGAAGGTGGTGTATTGGTGAGGTGTGCCGTTGGAAGTTTGGCTGGCAACATTACCAGCGTAGGGAGCGAAAGTGTTCGGTCCAGGAGAGTTGATGGGATTGACACCTTCAAATGATTCACCTCGCTGAGGCTGGAACGCGTTCAATCCGATGGCGGCGTTGTCCTGAGCCTGGGAGTCACCCAGCGAAGTCTGCTGGGTGTGCATGGCTGGAGCCTGAAGCGCAGCAGCCGGTCGGAATTCTGCGGTAGACGGATCCAGCTTGGGAGTACTGCTGTGGGTGGAGCCTGCGAGCTTCTTCAAGGCCAGGTTGAACTTGGCTCTCTGGACTGCGGATTGAAGACCGCTGGGCTCACTGATCTGAGAAGCGTGCCTGATCGAAGACGAGTGGTCCGATGAGGCAGACGGGGAGTTGTTGGCGCTCTTGCTCTTGGATCGAAGCGCAGCGAAGGGGTCGCTGGGGTCAAAGGTGGCAAGCGGGGCACCGCCGTTGGTTGAGTCGATCGACTCGATCGAGGACTCTTTGAGGGGAGGAAGCTGCTGGAACTGGACGCGGCGACTATGGTTGAAGAAGGGATCAGTGTCGTCGAGAGTCTTCACCATGGCGACTTGGGTCGAGGTGGTGATCGGGGATGGGGCCATTGCAGGTCAGTACTGGAGCTGATCGAGCTTAGTACATTGCAAGCGTGAGCACCAACAAGTCAATGGGAAAGTTTCGGGTGAAGTAAGTGTCAAGAAAATATGCCGATGTGTGATAGGGAGAGTACAGATGATGAAGATGTGGGGGTCGGCGGAAGCTGAGATACGGCCACTGTTCTGCAGCTACTTTGCGTCACTTCCCTTCGAAGTTCCCACCTTCGTCCTGACGGTCGGACTGGCAGACTTGACAAATGGATCAAAGTGTAGGTTCCGGTGATCCAGTGACACCGGCGCTGTCTTCAGGATCCAGCGTTGGAGAGGTGTCGGCCTCGATAAGGAAAGTATTTGTGGTGGGGGGAAACGCTGCCAACGGGACGACAACGGCAGGATAGTGGGCCATGAAGGGGGTAGGGAAGCAGCAGCACAAAACAGACGATGAAGAGGGAACAGGAAACTGCGAGCACTTACTGGATCAAAGGCAACAGTGAGTTCCTCGAGCACATGTGATGCTGCTGTTGGCGGTATCGTGGGTACAGCTGCCCTTGCCGAATTTCCAGAACTAAAGCAGGTTGCTTCGAAAAGAAAAATGGTCAGCAATAAGCAGAGTTTAGGTCAGCGCATGAAGAAATTAAAAGGCAGGCTCACCTAAAGCTTGTGATGTGGACCAAGACGCGTCAGTACCTGTCAGGAGGTGCTGAGCTAGGATGAGACTGGGTACAAGCTCAGACGGCAGCAGGAGACAAGCAGTAGCAGAACGAAATCAGGTTGATCAAGGACAAGTGTAAGGAGGGAAGGGAGGAAGGTAGATGGATTACAGGGCGAAGGAAGATCAACAAGGAATGATAATGGGTTTGGGTGTAATGGGCTCCGTCGGATCTGTATGCAGTGGAGGCAGAGTGGCTATTAACAGGGACTGTGACTTGAAAAAGCTAGAAAGGAAAACACACAGTCCAATGACTGTCGAATCACACTCCAGTATCCCAAGTCCGATATGTTCTCAAAGTGCACAAATTGCGCCAGGTCAACAATGATACTCAAGCTGACGATGTTTCAGGGCGCCCACAGTTTGGCTGCACATTTCTATTTGTTCGATCATATATAACCAGAATGCGCTTCTCTCTTAATCAGAACAAGGACGCGACTTCTGAGAGGCACATAGTGCAATATCAATAGTTGCTTGGTGGGCATGATAACAGGGGGCTGAGAACATTTCTGCAAACATAGCTCCTCAATGTTCTTGATCCTCACATTGATGGACTGAGAGCGTAAGTCCATTATATGGAAAGACCTCTGTGGAGTGACGCGAAGAGCGATGCTGGTGAATCGTCAACCAGCATGGAAGACTCGTTCATGATGCAGCATGGCGAACTCACATGATCTGATGAGGCCCTAAAACTTGCCCTTGGCTTGACCAGAAACAAGACCTGCATCGATACCCGTGCCAGTTCCCTGGCAGGACATCGTGGAAGACACAGCATATTTAAACAGCATAATTATTCACTCAGGTCTGGAAAGATCATTTCGTCTGGTAATTGATCACAAACGGCTATTTGATGTTTTGTTGGTCCAGGTCGCTCCTTTAATTTGATCCGTTTCATCATCTCTCAGTTGCCAGCATGAGTAGGACCGCGATATGTGCTGTCCCTCAGCCAAGGTGCTGCCAATGTATGCTCATTCAGCAGTGCCCTTCAAAACCTCTCTCAGTTGCGCCATGGTAGCCGAGCTGCATATCACAGCTTGGAGTTTCCAGGGTTGCAGTGGAAGGGAAGAGCCATGCTTGTTGAATCACTCCGTTTCTGAGCGTCGTCTGCCACAAGCCATCCATCATGGCATCCATACGGCTTCCGACAAACATGAGGCACATCGAGCCTTAGTCAAACGGTGTCAAGAATGACTCGGCAACAAATCGTGCTCTTGCGTTCAACTGCACCCAGTTAGTCGATACGGAGTAAGGGGGTAGGGTAATGTGTTGCTCACGAATAGCTTCATCTCGGAGATTTCCTTGTCAACCTCCTCCATGAACTGGATTATGAAGTCCACAAGCTTATGCTTCAACATTTCCTCCGTGTGGAAGTTCGTAATCAGAAAAGAGATGTCATATCCCTACTCAGACGGTCAGTCTCCACCTTGGTCAGGGGTGTCCCGCAGCCCACGAAAGGGCGGCGCCCAGCAGCTGCCAGGTCCGCAGCGCAGACATTGCGAACACGCACCTTGATAGGTTTCCGCCTCAGGATGAAGAACGACTCGGCGCGCTGTTCCAAGAACCGGGTGAACTTGTGTACCAGGATGTGCTCGATCTCGTCAGCCTGCTTGATCTTGAGGCTGATGCGCACGCTGTTGATGCTGGGCTCGATCAGGACGCGCTCGTTCTCGTTGCGCGCAATCGTCAAGGGTGTCAGAAGGACCTCGGGTGACGTCCGAGCCTCGACTTCGGGGACATTGTGTCGCTCGGCGGTCTGGGATGCGAAGTTGGACAGGCAGAGGGCGGCTGTCAGGCTGCTGCGGACAGCCTGAAGGTACGGCCTAAGGGATTGAGACTGGGAGGGGTGTCAGCTGTGCATTGGGAGTAGGGGGATCTGAGGGCCTGTGCGTACCATCTTGAAGGCACAGAAACTCTGCCAGGTCTGTTCAAGATGCCGAGCTGGCGTGGTGAAGGTCGAGGTGGTTGTCCAGAGGAGCTGTCCCCGAATGGAGCGACGTCAACCAGCCCGCGTGTGGGGCGTCAGGAGCGGCGGGACCTGCCAGCGGAATCAGGGGAAGGCATGAAGGTACGTACCCTATTTGCTTGAGCTCCGGTGTTGGCCCCCCCCCTCCCCTCCCCCCTGTCACGCCTTCCCTTGCACAGTTACAGGCTAGGCTATCTGTAGTACCCCGCCATGTCCATTGATGACACAAGCCCCCAGCTGCCTGCCCGCCTCCCGCAGTTTTGCCTCCCTGCTGCCCACGTTGACAAACACTACCTAGTTCTCCCATAAAGTCTATACGATTGCCACTTTTCCTCTGAACTTCCCATTTACGCAGTGACTCTGCGAATGCACATCGTAGCTCACCAGACTCAATACGAGCAACTGACAAGATGGCGGTGAATGGTGAGCTGAGACCCCCAGTTTCCCTCCTACCTCCGAAGCACCCAAGCTGCAAATACGCTGGTCGCATCCCTACCACGATCGACTCGACCGACGATTGCTGACATTTCTTCTTGCAGTCATTATCAAACACCAGGGCACCAAATACGATGTCGAGGTGGACCCCTCCGCCACGGGCGCGGAATTCAAGGAAATAGTCTACAGCCTGACAGCCGTCGAGCCCGAACGACAGAAGATCCTCATCAAGGGCGGTCAGCTGAAGGATGATGCGGACATGGGCAAGCTGGGCCTGAAACCCGGCCAGCAGATCATGATGATGGGCACTCCTAGCTCCGGCGGCGCAGAACTCGCTCGGCCCAAGGAGAAGATCAAGTTCATGGAGGACATGACCGACGCCGAGAAAGCCCAACAGGTGGGCGCGATCCCGAGCGGTCTCACCAACCTCGGCAACACCTGCTACCTCAACTCAACCCTGCAAACCCTCCGCGCGATACCTGAGCTCCAAGAGTCTCTCGTCAAGTACGAATACAAGAGCCAACCCGGTTCCAGTGCCCTCGGTGTCCTGCCCCAGTTTGACATCACGACGCAGCTGAAGAACCTTTCCAAGGCCATGGGTGAGACGCAGGAGGCATTTGCGCCCTTCGCTTTCATTCAGGCCCTGCGTCAGGGTTTCCCCCAATTCGCCGAGAGGTCTCGCACGGGCCAGGGCTATGCGCAGCAGGATGCCGAGGAAGCCTGGACCAACATCCTTTCTCAGGTCCGGAACAGCCTGCAAATCAAGGGCAAGAACGATTCTGCCCCCGTTTCGTGGGTCGACCGCTACATGTCTTTGCAGCTCGAGTCGAAGCTCGAGTGCGACGAAGCCGAGGCCCGGGAGCGAGGCGAGCAACCTGTCGAGGCGACTGACACGTTCCTGAAGCTCAACTGCCACATCGATGCTGAGACAAACCACCTGCGGGACGGAATCTTGGCTGGCTTGAAAGAGAAGATCGAGAAGAGGTCGGAGGTCCTCGGAAGGGACGTATCCTATACCAGGTCGTCCAAGATCTCAAGATTGCCCTTGTACCTGACCGTCCAATTTGTCCGCTTCTTCTGGAGAAGAGACACACAAAAGAAGGCCAAGATTCTCCGCAAGGTCACCTTTCCCAAGGACCTTGACATCATGGAATTCTGCACGGACTCCTTGAAGGAGAAGCTGATCCCGGTCAGAGACAGGCTTCGAGAGGTTCAAAAGGACGAGGAGGACATCACGCGCGCGCGCAAGAGGAGAAAGGCAAACCCTGCATCTGCGGACGCACCAGTGGAGCCAGCCGAGATTGGCAAGAAGGACAAGAAGGAAGGCAAGAAGCCTGCTACAGATTCTGACGGGGACACGTCGATGGAGACGTACAAGACGGACGCTGAGTGGGAGGAGGAGAAGGCGTCAGCGCTCCGTGAGGCGAAGAAGGAGCTCCTCTCTCTGGTCAACCAGGACCTGGCGAAGGACGAGGGCGCGAATCAGTCTGGCCTTTACGAACTACGGGCCTTAATCACTCACCAAGGGTCCAGCGCGGACAGCGGCCACTACACGGCATATGTCAAGAAGCCGGGCCCGAAAGACCCCAAGACAGGCAAGGTCGGCGAGGAGGACGGCAACTGGTACTGGTTCAACGACGACAGGGTTTCCGAGGTGCCTGGGGACAAGATCGAGACGCTTTCTGGAGGCGGAGAGACGCACTCAGCCCTCATCCTGCTGTACAAGGCCGTCCCGTTGCCTTCTGCGGAGGAGAGCTCGTAGAGCAATCGCGGAGCGGACGAGACTAGCAGCGTGCTCGGTGTGTTCTTTGACCGGGACGCCGACCAATCGATGGTGACTCGTCTACATCCTCTCAGTCTACCTAGTCCACTCCCTGACCAAAGGCCCGTCGCAAGCACGGCAGAGGACGTATTCGCCACCCGCTGGTAGTCACAAAAGCAAGTCGTTCGACATCGGTCTGAGTGATGTTTGGTGCGAAGAACTCGCCGCATGTGGGAGCACGGTGCGATTTGGTTATGGCGAGATGACCGACAGAGCACTCACCAGAGCGCGGATCTTTGTGTATGGTCGAGAACGTCGTCGCAAATCTAGGTTAGGAGCAGAAGCGCCGTGGGTCTAGCCAAAGAGCCAGCGTTGCTGCGCTTGCCGCCACCATACAAACTGGAGTCTGGAGACTTGAAAAACATTGGCAGCGATAGAGCTAGAGTGGATGCATTTGAAAGATTAATACAAAAGTCGTTCCTCGCAAGATATCGTTTCCTATGATTTTCTTTTTACGCAGTGGCGGAGTTAAAATTGGCCGAGGCAGGTGTAATGCCGGCCTCGTCAGTCATTCTTCTATCACCATCATTTTTGACGGGACGGGAGGTGGCAGCCTCCAGGCCGCGACAAGCGAGCCTTGCCCGTCTCTTTCGGCAACATGCCAGACGGCAACGGGCGACGAGTGACGTGCCAGCCAAGCGCGACCAAGACGTAAGACGATGTGCGGGCTGAGCTGAGTCGCCCGCTGGGCTGCTGTGCCAGGAAGCTTGGAAGTGTGGTCGGGTTGCGTGGAAGTTGAGGCTGTGCAGGTTGTCGGCGTCGGTGACGGAGCAGCAACGGCGGCGTCGGCGGTAACAGCAGAAGCAGCAAGCAGCAGCAGCAAGCGGCAACGAGAGGCAAACAGGGGTTCCTCGGGACACAACAACCATGGGGGAAGGCTATAATAGCAACAAGACACCCAAGCCAATCCATCCGGTCTCATCCCGTCTTGCTGCTCGTCAGAAGGTGTCTACTGTTGATTAATCCCCGCACCTCTTGTCTCTGAGTGCCTGGTCTCCCCTGGCAAACCTGTTGACCGAACTCAGGGCACACAAACACAAGCCCCTCCGCCCGATCCCGTTCCTGCAGCTGTCAAAACACTGGCCTCAAACCGCCGGCCGCCCGTTGAAACTACTGCCGTCTTGCTCGCAAGTCAGGAGTCCCTTCGGCCGACAACCAGTGCAGGTCTCAGTGGGCCGACTGGCCTAGCCTAATCTGCTTTGGTAGCTGATAGGCGAGTGGGGAGAGAGGCAAAAGAGAGACAGACCACGAGACAGCGAGCAGCTGCCAGCACACGCAACACAGCACAGCGCAGCGCAGCACAGCCAGAACAGGCGTGGGTCGCTGCCAGGTGGTAGGTAAGTGGGTTCATCCCCCAGAGGCTAGAGCTCGAGAGGACCCTTGGTCAACCGACAAACCGAATCAGATCCCATGCACCCCAGTGTTACTACCTGCCTGCCTGGACTGTATTATCGTGCGCAACAACCATCCCCCCTTTTAATCATTACGACTGCACCGCAACTGCGCCGCTTCGCTTCGCGTTTGCCTCGTTCCTCCGTCTCGATCCTTTTCTGTTTTCTTCTTTGTTGAGATACCCCTCGTCCTCCCTCCTTCCTTTGAACGAGAACGCCCTCCCCGCCACCAGTTAGCTGCCTTCTTCCGCCACACCCCGAACGAGTCAACATCCCATCCCGAGGGGCGTCCACAGCTGCTTCACTCGGAGCCTTGGCATACCCCGACTCAAACAACCGCCTTATCGCGACGTCTGCCCTCTGGGCCCCCCACCCCTTTTTCACGACGTCATACTCCCTCTCCGCTGTGATCCGGTCGCACGGCGCCCCCGCCCAAGATGAAGTCCATGAAGGGCCTGAGCAATAAGATGCTCGGCAGCATCAAGAAGAGGACCGACTCTTCCGCCGATACTGCGAGCGCAGGCAGCGATTCCGCCGTCGACCTGCAGGGCGACTCGCCCGAGGCCGTCGGCGCCAGGAGCGTGGTACGACAGCCACACCCAACGCCCCCCGGGCTGCTCAAATACCGATTCTTGGGAAATGAGTGCTGACGCTGTCGTCACAGAAAGCTTTCTGCGAGTCGGGTGGCCCGAACAACACGGTATGTTACATATGATCGGGGCGGACACCTGTGGAATCCAGGCTGGGCATCTTGGGTAGCCGCGCAAGTGTCGCACGGCATGGCTGATGGATCTCTGCGGCACCTGCCCGGGACGTGAGGGCCTTGTTGAGCGATGCGCGCGGCGGCGTGATTGTTCACTGTGGGGGTCGGGAGGACAGGCGCATCACTTCCGCATCGCCCCCTGCCGCCCGCTCGTGTGCCGTCATCGTCTCTCCAGCTGCTGTGCCCCCCTCACACACTACTTGTGGCGCAGAAGTGCTGATCGGATGGAACACAGGGCGACGAGGTCACCTTCCTGCCCTCGATAGTCGAATCCGCCGAGTCCTCACCAACAGCAGCCGCCGAGTGCGCGCGGACGATACGCAAATACCTTAAGAAGGACTACTGGTCGAAACCCTCCTACCAGTACAATGCGCTCATGCTCACGAGGATTCTCGCCGACAACCCCGGGCCGACATTCACTCGGAACCTGGACGGCAAGTTCCTGGAAGTGGTCAAGGACCTTCTCCGGAACGGGCGCGACCTCTCTGTGCGCCAAATGCTCATGGAGACGCTGGATTCATTCGAGCACCAGAAGGGCTGGGACGAGGGCCTCGGCCCGATCATCGAGCTGTGGAAGAAGGAGAAGGACAAGGCCTACAAGGCTTACGGAGTGCGTCCTGGTATTCCTGAAGCTGTGTCGGTGGCGAGTCGCTAATGTTTTCCAGGGACATCCGCCGCAACCGCCACGTCCACAGAACTTCGCGGCGCCCCCTACAGACCCGCACTCGCAGAACTATTTCGCGAGGAGCCACAGCAATAAGCGTCTTCCTAGCCCCGTTGAGTTGGCAAACCGTCTAGAGGAGGCACGGACGTCAGCAAAGCTGTTGTCGCAGCTGGTAGCCAACACCCCGTCAACCGAGGTCCTGGATAATGACCTGGTCAAGGAGTTCGCCGACAGGTGTCTCAGCGCGTCCAGGAGCATACAGGGCTACATGACCGCGGAGAACCCTGGCCCAGACAACGAGACCATGGAGAGCCTGATCGATGTGAACGAGGAGCTGCAACAGGCGCTCAACAACGAGAAGCGCGCGAGGCTGAGCGCCAGGAAAGAACTCGGCGTCGACGCCCGTTCCGAGAACGTCAGCCCCGCGCCAGAAGTAAATGGCTCCAACCGACCCCCCATGCCCGAGCCATCGGGGTCATACTCTGTCCAAGGAGGAGCATTTCCTAGCGGCGGAGCCTACACGGGCGACTCAGCGCCGCCGCTGCCAAGGAAGCCACTCAACAACGGCAAGGGTAAGGGGAGACAAGAGCCCGACCCAGCAGACTACGTGCCACCGCCGCCGGGGCCGCCGCCAGGGCACCCCTCGGCAGCCGGGCCGTCCCGCTCCGCAAACGCAACGCCGGCGGACGAGGGCCAGGACCCCTTCCGCGACCCGGAGCCCGCGGGGCCGAGAGGAGGCAGGGCGCCCCAGCTGGAAGAGCCGCGGCTGGCCGACGAGCCCTTCCATCCGGGCTTCGGCGAGCCCACGCGCAGCTACATTGGCCGCCAGGACAGCGCGGCCAACAAGATCACCATGCACGGCGCCGGGTACGGTGGTTACGGGTCGTCGGACCAGGACGGGGACAAGGAGGTCGTCAGCGGCGGCGCCGGGTACGGCGCCGGGTACGGCGGCGGCTACGGCGACTCCTCGTCGTCCGCGTCGAGGCCGCGCAACTTGTCGGACCTCAGCGACGATATCTACAACCCGCCGCCTTCCTCCTCGGACGCGTACGGCGGGTCCTCGTCGGGGAAGAGGCCGGTGTACCGATACTGAGCGTACATATATGTTGGATGGGAGGGAGGCGTGGTTCCGTGGGGATGCCTAACCTATCACCTAAAATACCCAGCTTACTTACCTATCTATCTATCTACACCTAACTGGTGGAAACAAACAGCATTCTTGTTTATGAATTTTCTTGTGGGACGGAGAAGATGGGGTCAGCGCTGAGAGCCGTGTGAGGTTGCGATATCATGGAGGATGGGTGGTGGAGAAGCATCAGGGTCAACGACGGACGAACGAACAAACAAACAGCAGTTGTTATCATCAGGCATAAGAGAAATACCAGCCAGAGAGTGTGAAAGGGCATACGTACGTGCTGGTTCGTGGTCTTGTGAAACCTGTCTGTCCGTCCGTCCTTCCTCCCGGGCCCGGTTCCAGCCCCAAGTCGCCTCACCTCGTCTTGGTTGCCTGATACTGCTGCCATCCCTGGGCAGAAACCTGCCAGCGGGCACAGCAGGCGCCGCAGGTATTGCCTTCCATGATATGACTGCTTCCCGGGGAGCGAGGCCGAAGGGGGGGGGGAGGGCTCCCAGCCGGCAAGCACCGCATATCGCCACGGATGACACTCCCTCCCCCCAGATTGCCTTGCCCTCCTCGCCGACTGGGCAGCACCCCGTCCGTCCGCCCGTCCATGTTTCCCCAAGTAGAGCCCGACAGCCCGACTCTCCTGCCCCTTTCCTTCCCTCCCAGAAGCAGCAGCAGCAGCACAGAACATTGACCGCATGGCGTTGTGGTTCGTGTCCTGCGCCGATAGGGTGGGTGGTCGTCGGCGCCGACGCGCGCTGACGTGTACGTACAGTACAGTACCATGTAGGAAACGCAGCGGCCCGCGCCCCTGAGCTTTTGCTTCTTCCTCTTTGTACTTCTTTCATTCTTCCTCTCCAATCTTGGTGGTTTTACGTCTTCTCGCTTCTCTCCCGCGCCGCCGCCTTGGCCTGCGTCGGGGATTTATGTCCGCAGATCAATGTCTCTCGCTTGCGCGGGACGAGGCGTCTTCCATCTTGGGGTCCGGCTTGCGACTGGTCTGGGGAGCCTGGGGCTTGTCTGTCTGTAGGAGTGAGTCCAGATTTACGCCTCTTGGCTTTCCTTGAAGGAGGAGGGGGGGTTATTGTTCTGAAGGGTTCGAATAAGGAAGGTGTGTCGTCCTGCTGGCAACCCTTGGCCGCTTGAACAGTTGGCTTTCCTTTTTCCTTCTCCTGTCCCCATACTGCCCTCCCAATCGTCGTGGTGGCAGTGAGCAAGCAGCGTGGCCTGGAACTACCCGTCGACACAGGCGGGTGATCTACCAGCCTTTCCTCCGAAGCACGTTTCCCACACAGCTGCCTCGTGTCGGGCCTTGTGGGCACCACCGACCCGAGAGAAAAAGAAAGAGTGAGAGAGGGGGGGAAAAAAGCAGAAACAGAAAAGGTGGGCTGGCGATTTCCTCGACATCGACCGATCACTTGCTCACCTCTCAGCGGCGGCTGTGTCGCAGCCGAGACGAGTGATGTGTGCGTGTCTGCCGCCAACTTGGGCATGAGATGCGAGTGGATGCAGAGACTTTCGTGTCGTGCTGCCGGGAGAGCCGCCATGCATATGTGCGTACGTATATGTGTACGTACAGGGAAGAAACTGACGACAGGCAGGAACAGACTGGCACTTCTTGTTGGACTTCCGCTCCCCCCTTACCGCCTGGAGACTGGATGTTATTGTGGCCTGCTTCATCACGCCCCGATGGGCTGGAAATGGTACATGGCTTCGTCTATCGGGGGCAGGTCAAATTCTCGATGCCTCCCACCCGCTCACTTGAGTGGGTTAGGAGTCTGATGAGGGCACACCATTCCCTCCAGTGCGCCTCCAGATTTCCACATGGTGGGACCGGGCCCGCGATCCTTCACATTGGGTGTGCTGTTGGTGCTGAAGACTCTCTTCTCCTCGGAGAGACGTGTTCATACATGGTGGGGAGCAGGAAGGGGCCCTCGTCCCCCGATGATGCGGGCTTGTTGCCGTCGTCACGGATCGCACCGCATCGGATATGTTGGAGATAGAGGCGGTGAATACACGTCAGCGTCCCCCCTCCCTACCTTTGCTGCTCACCGCGGGAACATCATGTAAGTGTAGAGTGTCTCGTTCGAGAGAGGTGCGCATCTCGTCCTCCCGACTTTTACATCTTTCACTGCATCGGGGGCCATTTCTGTCCTCCCCGCGGCCCCCACCACCCACCCTGTTGAGGCTCCTCTCCTCCCTCCCTCCACAGTCGCAAGCTACATCCGAATCAAGTAAGCCCGTCGCCGATGCGTGTTTAGCCCACCCAAGAGCGGGTCGACCGCGCCGCCGCCGCCCTAGAACATGTGTTCGTCCCATGTGAGCCGCCAGAGACGATCGGAATCTATCAGGGAAGACAGGCGAGGGACTGACTGCCCGGCTTGGTTCTGTTTAGTCGTCGGGCTGGGGTTCCAGTCCCCCGGAGCCAGATGACCAGGATCGTGATGAGACTGCATTCTGCTGTCGACAACAGAAAAACTCCGCAGCGTGGCGCTGCCCGCCCGGCTGGATCCCCGGCCAAGGGGGTTCTACTGTAAGAGAGGTTGGTTGGTGGCGGGCGGCTTGCTGTTGGCGCCGCCCCGCGTGTGTGCCTGGATATCGAAAGTTCAGCCGCTTTGTGCGCACACTACACACGCACATATACACACAAAACGCATGTGGGAATGGGTGTAGCCTACGCTACGAGCAAGGGACCAGGGAAAGGCAGAACGGGAGCATGATTCGATCCATCCATTGCACATGACCACTTTCGGCCTTCTACCCGTAGCTCGTATGTTTGTAGACTATGTACTTGGCTACATATGTTGGAAGGTGCAAGGGTTGTATGCCCATACGTTAGCGCTAGCTTATAAATAGGCTCCTTTTAAGCATTTAATAGCGGGAGATTTCTCTCCTTAATATATAATAATTAATTATTATTTACTTTATTGCTTTATTAAGTTATAAATTTAGCATTACTTAATGTTATAAACCAGCGAGCAGGATAGCGTCAGGGTACCCGTTTAGGTAATTCAGGGGACCAATAAAAGGAAATCGCAACGCTAACTTAGCGGCATTAAAGTGCAAAGTTATGAGATATGCAAAACCTAGGGTTAGGGTTAGGGACTTACCTTTAAGAATGAATTAATAAAATTAATATTAATCTTATTAAGTAAATAAGATTAATAAAATTAATATTAATCTTATTAATTTATTAAAGAGTTAAGAATATATAAAGATATAATTATTATTATAATAAATAGCTTTTATAAAATAAATTTTTTAATTATTAATTTAAGTATTTAATCTTACTTATTAAATAACCTTATAATTAATAATTATTACTTATATATAAAATATTGCTTAGTTAAGTATTGCCTTTATAGCTAAATTATTAATATAAACCCTATAAATTATTGCTAAATCTTATAAAAATTTAATATAATTATAACATTTTAACAACTCTTATTTAAAATAGCTTATATATATATTAATTACGTAATATTAAGATATAATAACACCTTAAATACTTACCTCCTTTAATATTAGCAATAATATTAGCCTTAATATTTAAAAACTTGCTAATTAAATTAAACTCCTTTAACAAGAAATTAATTATCTTTATATTACTTAATAAGCTAAGTCCTATAAGATAAATAAGCCTAGCCCTTATAAAGGAAACAAGGGAACCCTTTAGGGATTCCTTACTTAATGCTAAGCTTATTTTAAGCATTATGCTCTTTAATTTAAAATTAATTATAATAAGATTATCTTTATTAAATATTATCTTAAAGGCAATATGCTAGCATAATTTAAATTTATTTTAAGGGATTACTTAAAAAATAAAGAAAAAGAATAAGATGATAATATAAAGAAGATATTTAAGAACTTTAATTATTTTAAATAAGTACTTAAGGATGCTTTTAAAGATCCTAATAAGGAAAGGATTGCGAAATAATAACTTATACAGCTTTAATAAAATAACTTAACTTTTACTTACATTATATACTTTAAGCAACTTATTACTTATATTAATTAAGGTAAAAAAGCATTTATAAGCTAATTTTATAAAGAACTTAAGAAAGATATTAAGGATAAAATTATTAAGCTAAATTAACTAAATAAATTTATAAAATATATCTTTATAATTATATGCATTAATAATTAACTCTTTAAATAAAAATAAAAATAATAGCATAAAACCTTAAATAATTTATAAAAGCCTTAAAATCAACCCAATATTAAAAAGAAGTATTAATATAATAGTAACTTTTATGACAATAATAAGCTTAAGCATTAATAAGGTTATGGTAATATTTTTTATAAAATTTAAATAAGGCTTATAAAACTTAATATGGCTTAGCAAAGGCTTATTAATAAGGATTGCTATAATTATAATAAGAAAGGCCACCTTGCTAGGGATTGCCATTAATTAAAAAAGTAATAATAATAGCTAATCCTTAAAGGATAATGTTAACTAAATATAATTTAATAATAAAATACCTTAAAATAATATAGCTGTTAGCTTAATAAAGAATGCTTAATATACTTAAAAAGCAAAATTAATTGCATTTATTAACTTAATCTTTATATAAAATGTTTAATTTACTTTAATAAATAGGAATTAAAAGATTTAAATAACTTATTACTTATTCCTAAATAAATAATAAATATTAATAAATAGTATAAAACCCTTTATTAAACCTTTTATTATTATAATTAATATATATTATATTTTTTAAAGAAAAAAGCTTTTAAATGGTTTCCTAAAAAGCCTTAATAAGAATAATAATTAATAATAAGAAAATATAAATTATTATATAATATAGTAATAAATATTAATAACTTGGATTGCTTAAGCATTATAAATAAGGAATTAAAGGACCCTTAAAAAGATTATAAGGAAATAAAAAAAGACCTTATAAAGAATTTAAATAAAAACTTTAAAAAATATTTAAGATATAGCATTTTCATCGCCTTAAATATTAGCA